CCAATACAAATACAGTCATGTAGTTTTATTTATTTATTTATGTGGCAGTATTGGAGTTTGAACTCAGGGTCTCACACTTGCTAGGCAGGCACTCTGCCACTTGAGCCATACCTCTAGCCCTTTTTTGCTTATTTTTCAGATAGGGTCTTGTGTTTTCCCATGCATCTAGCCTTGGACCTCAGCCCACCCACCCGTGCCTCCTGCATAGCTGGAATTACAGGCATGAAACACCACTGCTGACATATTGGTTGAGATGGGGCTCAGTAACTTTTTTTTGCCTGACCAGCTTCAAACCATGCTTCTGCCTCCTGAGTAGCTGGGATCATAGGTGTGTGTTACCATGCCTGATCCCTCTGTAGAAAGTTAAACATAGACTTACCAATTACCTAGCAATTCTAGGTGTATTTATCCCAAGAGAATGAAAACACATCCACATAAATTTGTACACAAATTAGCGGTGTTCATAATATTCCAAATGGAAACAATCCAAATGAACATCCAAGTGACTGGTAAGTGGACAGACAAAATGTGATGCATCCTTGGGATGGAATGAAGGAGTGAGGTGCACTGTCACATGGCAGAACTAGGACAGCCTCATACTAAGGCAGCATTGTGTTTGTTACTGAATATCGCATGTAAGTTATTGCTCAGACACAAAGACTGCACATTGTAAGATTTTATGTGCCCACACAGGCCAGCCCATACAGACAGAAAATACATTAAGTGGGTTCCAGGAGTTGGAGGCAAGGAGACTATGGGAGTGACTACTCATGGGTGTAGATGTCTTTTGGGTTGATGAATATGTTCTACAATTACATAGTGGTATGGTTTCAAAATTCTGAAAATGCAAAATGCTTTGAATTGTGTTCATTTTTTTTAATTTTTATTTTATTCATATGTGCTTGAATTATGTTCTTTAAATGGGTGAACACATCTGTAATCCCAGCACTTGGGAGGTGGAGACAGGAGGATTTAAGAGTTCAAGGCTAGCCTAGGCTACATGGCCAGACCCTGTCTCCAAAAAACAAATAGCAAATGAGGTGGTGGTGGTGGTAGTGGTGGTGGTGTGAGTTAAATGGTGTATCAAACTAGTTCTCGGTAAACTATTCAAAGTAAAAAGAACTCCCTGTTGTAACCTTATAACTGTTGTAGTGCAATCAGCAGACACTGTGGGGTGGGAGGAGAAAACAGCTTCAGATCTTGGCCAATTTCCCTGCTTCCCTGTACTTCTTCCTCTGATGCTGGCTACACCCAAGGTCTCCACTTAGATCTTTTGCTATTTTGTCCCACTTTTCCAGTTGTCTTGAGTTACAGGAATTCTGCTCTACCTCCTGAAGCCTTCCAAGCAATGTTAAACTCACTTGTGATTTTATTTAAGAACTGCGTTTAGATTTGTATCTTTGTTTGGCTGTTCCCAAGACTTTTTAGTCTTAATCTTTTGTTGTTGTTGTGCTGGGCCTTGGATTCATGGTAGGCAAGCATTCTGCCACTGAGCTACATCCTCTCCCTTGGTGGTCTTTTGTTGTTCTGGGTTTTTTGGTGTTACTGGGGTTTTGAACTCAGGGCCTCACACTTGCTAGGCAGGCGCTCTATTACTTGAGCCACTCCAACAGTCCCTTTGTTGTGCTGGCTGTTTTTGAGACAGGGTTTCAAAAACCATTAGCCTAGGTTTGGCTTTGAACCTTGATCCTCCTGATCTCTGCCTCCTGAGTAGCTAGGATTACAGGCTTGAGCCACCAGCGCCCAGCTGAAGTGATTTCCTGATGTGCCTTCTTACTCTTCTACACTCTGTTTTGTATTCCGTTGTCAGGGTAATCTTTTAGAAGTGGGGATGATCAGGTAGTTGTGGTGGCTCATGCTTCTAATCCAGCTACTCAGGAGACAGAAGCAGGAAGATCAAGACTTTGAGGCCAGTCTAGGCAAAATTTGTGAGACCCTGTCTCAAATAGAAAATAAAAACAAAAGGGCTAGGTGTGGCTCAAGTGGTAGAAAGCTTGCCTAGTATGCTAATGCCGTAGGTTCAGTCCCCAGGGAATGATCTCACAGGTCATTCACTTTCTTGGGGTCTTCTCCCTCTTGTCTAGCCACCGCAGCCCAGGCCTGGTTCCTCCTGCTCTCCTGCAACTCTTCGCCCTCTTTGCTGCCTGCATTTTCTGCTTACTGTCTCCTCCTCATGTCGTGACACACTCCTCCCTCCAGGAAGCCAACCTCTCCTTTCTTCCCCCAGTGTGGTACTGATACCTTTATTATATGTTATTCGTGGTATATTGAGGGCGTTTGCTTTATGTCTGTCTCATAGTTCTCATTTGAGTTCCATGATGATTTGGATGTATCAAAATGGTTTTGTAGTTTTCCAAGACAAGTGCCACAACTTGTGTCTGTTGACAGTCCGTATTTGTTCTATGAATGAACGAAGCCACACAGAAAAGAACATCTCAAACATTCAGCAACTATGTATTGCCTACTTGACCCTCGCCACTTGCCCAGTACTGGGAATATCAAGATAGGTAAACACAGGGCTGAGCCCATGCACTTGTTACTTACTGTGCCCTGCATCTGCAGAGCACTAAAGTGGTTTTATGACATACATTTAGCAGTCATGTTTCAGCCTTGTGATTGGTCTTGTATCCTGACCCCACCCTACACCACAGTCTTGTAACTTCTGAAATGAGAATAGACTAGATGACATGGGGAATTCATCACTGTGGAGTATGTGTAGATTTTGTGGTTCCTTGATGACTGGAACTAGGTCTTTCAGTTTTGTAGGAAGCTGCCACAGGACCAAGTGTGGTGCCTGACACTCAGTGGCTGGTCAGCACATGCTAAAGAAGGAGCTGGCAGCTGGGATACTTCTAAGAGAACTTGACCAGATTTTCATTCCACTGATTTCATTATGTCCTTTCTCTGTGCTCCAGAAAAACTGCTTGGTCTCAGCTTTGTCTACAGCTTTTTTTTTTGGCCAGGGAGCAGGGGTGTGGTGTTTGTGGGGTTTATTTTTTATTTTGTTTTTTTGCTGCTCTGGGGGTTTGATCCTAGCCTCAGGGCCTCCTGCTTGCTAGGGGAGCACTCTTACCACTTGAGCCACTCCACCAGCCCCTTCTTTGTTTTATTTTGAGACAGGGTTTTCTACATGGCTTAAGCTGGCTTTGAACTCAAGATCTTCCTGCCTATGTCTTCTTTTTTTTCTTCTTTTGGGGGGGTGTGTTTAAGTGGAACTTGTTAAAAGTTAAGGAAGAGTAATACAAAGGGAAGCATGGTGGGGCCCAGGTGGAAGCCAGAAGGTGAGAGAGCCTGCCTGTGTCTTCTGAGTGTTGGGATAATAGGCATACACTACCAGGCCTGGGTATCTACAACTTTTATATATATACTGCATGCCTATGTGTTCATGTACGTATATGAGATATAGGCTATTCCTCTTAACCTTGTAAAGAAGGTAAAGAGATCATTTTTCAGCAGGAAACTGAGTCTTCAAGGTCATAGTTAAGAAACCATGTAATCAGACTCAGTGCCAGGTCTTCTGATCCCAAATGCAATGTCTTTCTCTGCTTGTCTGTAAAATAAAGTTTCTTTCAGGCCTGAGCTCCTAAGTTACCTAGCTCTTAGCATAGCATATCTGTTAGGGGTCCTTGGGACACAAGACAGTTGCTAGCTGTAGCAGAATGGGAATTGTCAAGGTCATGGAACTTGAGCCCCAGACTTGGAAGTGGACACTCTCCAGGCCAGCTCCTGGGGCTTCAGGAGTGGGAGGCCTGACCAGATGCTGCCTCGGAGGGACCAGACTCAGCCAAGACTGAGTGCAAGGGAGGCGCCTTCTTGGCTATAGCTTGAGTCTTTTTTGTGCCCCGTGTGGTGAGTGTGGCGGTCCTCAACAGGGACAGTTTTGTCCTTGCAGTGGGCAGTGTCTGAAGATCCTTTTTTGTCATGACTGGTGGGCACAGAACAACCCCAAATGTTGGCATACTGAGGAAACCTTGAGTCCCACTCTTTACAAGGCTGTGTGTTGTTGTAGGTAGAAGAGAACTGAAGTTCTGTTACTCCCCAAAAGGCAAAGAGATGCTAGGCAGCCAAAAAGAAAAAAAAAAAAAATCACTACAAACTAGGGCACTGACTCCAATGACGGTGAAAATGAATTACTTGTTTGTAAATGTTGGAGTAGTGGAGGTCTCTCAGAGAAAGGGAGCATTTATAAAATTGTTGAAACACTGAACTTAAACTTCAAAAAGATGCTAGGTGATTATTTTTAAAGATGAAATTTTCATGTAGAATAACCTATAAAGAAGAGTGTATACACTTGAAATTAATATTTAAACCTAATTTATAATTTAGTTTTTTGAGGGGAATTTTGGGCAAAAACTTAGGATGAACAGTCAACTGTAATCAAAACCGAATTAAACTGATGTACTGAAGTTGAACACAACTAGAACATAATTATATTCTGTGAATGGGGAAACAGTTATCCTTCAAACTGATTCAAGCCAACATTTAATTTATTAGTTTTAGTAAAAACATTTCACATTGTATCACATTGTAGGATAACATTTAGTAAAGAATCCTCTCACTTGTCAATAGCTTTGGGTATTGCAAGTATGACAGAGTCTGAGGTGGTAGATCTGTGGCATGTGTGTTCATTTGTTAGAATTTCTTGAATACTTCACCATGCTCTTTGCCTAGATGGTTATTAATATTAAGTCTCAGTAAAAGGAAGACTGACTCAGCCTATAATTTTTCTGCAATTCCTTTTAACTTTGTTCACTCTGGGGATAAGCTGTGCATGCGGCTGATAACATGCCTGTTTTGCTTTCATATTTTATAACACCTTGCTGAACCAGGCCTGTTTTGCTATCCTGACAAAGTCTAGAAGTTATTAGATGCTTCATTCCCTGCATGTCAGACACATAGCTCTTGGGCCAACTGTCAGAGGGACCTACTGGTAGGTCTCTTAAGTGGATCTCTCCTGGGGTCCTTCACCCATGAGTCATCTCATCTAGGTGTCATTTCAGGTGAACCACTGTCTACCAGAGAAGATCGTGATGTATCGTGATGGAGTGTCTGATGGCCAGCTAAAGACGGTTGCCAACTACGAGATTCCTCAGCTGCAGAAGTGCTTTGAAGCTTTTGAGAATTACCAGCCCAAGATGGTGGTGTTTGTAGTTCAGAAGAAAATCAGCACCAATCTGTACCTTGCTGCCACTGAGCATTTTGTGACCCCTTCCCCTGGAACTGTGGTTGATCATACGATAACAAGCTGTGAATGGTAAGTGATTCCTTATTTGAGGAAGATTAGGTCGGAGAAGTTCCCTGCTTCATGAGTATTGCCTGGCTAGCTGTGGAATGGAATCTCAGAGATTCTGCTGTCGAAGAAGTAAAACTTGGGCTGTGGATGTAGCCCGTGGTAGAATGCTGCTCACTCAGCTTCCCCAGTGGTTGGAATTACGGTCACGCACCACCATGCCCAGCTCAGTATGAAATATTGAATATGCATTCTTTCCCTTACCATCATTTCTCAATAGCCTAATAAGCCCAAATCTTAATCTTGCCTTGGCTCTTGTGTGCCCTTAATCCAGGCTTGTACCTTCCTGACCTTAGGCGAAGGAGCTATAATGATCTCCAAGATTTCTGCTCCCTCTTGTCAAATCCAGCTATCTCAGTAATTGACTAACTGGGGTTTTTCTGGCAGGGTGGACTTCTACCTTCTTGCCCATCATGTACGGCAGGGCTGTGGCATTCCTACCCATTATGTCTGTGTTCTCAACACTGCAAATCTGAGCCCCGATCATATGCAGAGGTGAGTTTACCAGGAACTTTCTCTTTCTCACTATTAATTCGGACCAGCTAGCTAAGGTAGGTTAACTGCCTCCCCAAGATAAATTTACCCCTTGACTTTTCTCAAGACTTTGATAATAATGGTGTTTTCTGAAGAGTGATTGCTAATTCTGATTTTACATTAAAATTAATTGAAGAGCTTTAGAAAAAAATGCTGATGCTAGATTTCATACCTGAGCATTCTAAGGCATTTGTGTTTATTTCTTTATTTTATTTAATTTTTGACAATAATGGGATTTGAACTTAGGGCCCAACATTTGCTAGGCAGATGCTGAACCACTTGAGTCATGCCTTCCTCAGTCCTATTTATTTCTTGCTATGTTGCCCAGGGTACAGGCTTCCCTCATTAGGTTCCCCTTAGCTTGGACTGCAGGTGCATATTGCTGTGCCCAACAGCACTTGTGTTATTTTAAACAGCTCTAGATGATCAGAGTACAGCCTGGTTTGAGACCCACTGCCCTTGAGCTCAGATCATATGAGCACTGCGCTGAGGTACTGCTTTTCTGCAGCCTTTTCCTGTGAACAGAAAAGGTTCTGTCTTAGCCAGGCATGCTGGTTTCACACCTTCGATCCTAGCTACTCAGGAAGTGGAGATGGGGAGGATCATGGTTCAAGGCCAGCCTGGGCCCATCTCAATCAGTAAAAGCTGGGCATGGTGGTACTCTCCTGTCATCCCAGCTACATGGGCAGCATAAATAGGAGGATTGTGGTCCAGGCTGGTCTGGCCATAAATGTGAGACTCTGTCCCAAAAATAAAATAAAAAAAGTGGCTGGTGTGTGGCTCAAAGTGATAAGGTGCCTGCCTAGCAAACACAAGGCCTGAGTTCAAACCTGAGCACCACCAAAAAAAAAAAAAGTTTTCTCTGCATGTTGTTCCTCGTATTTTAATAATTAACAGGGGGATGCCTAAAATGAGAGGATATACCCCTCCTCTGACTTACAAATTGTGGAAATAGAAAATTCCACTTAAAAACAATGATTCCCGAAAGCGGCATCATATATTCCTGAGTTCCCCAGTTTGCTGGTGAGTATGCTGCGTGTCATACCCCATAGAGTGTTGTCCCATCCCACAATAGAGGCAGAGAGGGTTAAGGATCCCACTTTCTTCTTGTCCTACAGGTTGACTTTCAAACTGTGCCACATGTACTGGAATTGGCCTGGAACCATCAGAGTTCCAGCTCCTTGCAAGTATGCCCACAAGCTGGCTTTCCTGTCAGGACAGATCTTGCATCACGAACCAGCCATCCAGCTTTGTGAGAACCTGTTCTTCCTGTGACTGGGGGCCTGGGCATAGGCTGGTGAGGAGAAATTGGACTTCCAACTTAGTGACACAGAATCAATAGACTGAAGTGGGGTTTCGTGTGTCGGCATTTTCCCTTTCTCCAACCCTATAGGATAAGATTTCTTTTTTTTTTTCTTTTAAACCTGATGTCACCAAGAAGCAGGTTTCTAAGTCCCAGCTGAAATAGCCTTGCTGCCTTTGTAGAGCAAATGGTGGTAGAACTGCAGCTGCACTGAGTGGATGAATGCAGGAGAGTCACTAAGAGACCCCCCAAGAGGCTAGGGATAAGCATGTGCTTAGCATATGCAAGACCCTGAGTTCAATCCCTAGCACCACCCCCCAGAATATATATATATAAATAAAGAGCCTCTCAAGCTAACGTGAGCTGTAGAAGTCTGCAGAAGCAGCAGTTACACCTAGAAGCTGTGCTTACAGAGCTATACCCATTTCTGGCGCCAGAGGTGGTGATAAAGTCATTGCAAGTGTCTTAAAGTAGAGTTAGTTTATTTAGACAACTGGAAAAGGTTAAAGGCCTGTGAAGCAAAGTTTTTCAGGATACTGCTGTTTCTGGCAGCTGTGGAAGGCATGCAGTAAAATAGCTTGTAGCATAGGCAGGCCCTTGCTGCCTAACTGTCCCTGGGGAGAGAGTGTGTGAGGCTTGTCACTTGAGTTGGCTTAAAAGTAGCTTGCAGTTATTCCTTGGCTTCTTGAGAGTCTAGCTGAAGTTTTTTCTGTACCTTTCAGTTACTTTATAGTATACATGTTGCTTTTCTTCTCCCCTCCATATGCCCACATGTGTATACACACACACAACACACTTTTTAAAGTACCAGTCAACACATGGAAAGAGTTCACCAGTTAGGAAAGTTCAGGATGGGTGTGTGCTTTTATTGACCCTCCTTTCAGGTGCCTGGCCTTTGCTTCTGTGTTGTCTGTCTGTAAGTGAGATTGCTCATTTCTGTTGCACAAGAACCTCTTCTGGCTCTTGAGCCCACTGGCCCTGTGGACTCACTTAGCCAGGAAGTTTTCGGAATCCAGCTAATGTTTCCAGAAGTTGGCTTGAGAAAACTTGACACTCCCACCAAAGTCCAGACTACATTTTAGGAAGTTGTCACTAGGCCTGTGAATTTCAGTGTTTTGGGGAAGCACTGGTTTTCTATGTGGTTTTTCCTTCCTGTTTCAACATCTTCCAGTCCTTTCAGGCTTTATTCTATCATATCCTGCTTTACTGGGTTTTAAAAGCCAATTTTATTTAACCTTTTAAAATTTGTATTTATTTATGTTTTGGTGTGCTGGAAGGGAGAAGATAGAGCAGAAGGCTCACTTTAAATGCATGTGTGTGAGAAGACGAATAGAGCCTAAAGCTCTTCTGAAGAGGGAAGCTCAGTGGTAGAGCACTTGCCCAGCATGTGCAAGGTCCTGGGTTTTATCCCCAGCACTGCCAAAAAAAAAAAAAAAAAAAAAAAAACCTTTTAGTTTGTTACAATGTCCAGAGGCTGGGGAGAGATAAGTGTCGATAGTCTTCAAGTGCAGCGTGTGGACTTGGAGTCTGTGACACAGGCGGAGCTAAGAACTGGAATTTGAAAGCCTCAGAATCAAACAGATTGAACCATTGGTCTCTGGCTGGACAGAGCCATTTTCTGATTTTCTTTGGAAGCATTTTGAATTTCCCTTTTGAAGTTGAATTTGCAAATACTCTTTTTTTCTCTTAGATAATCAGAATACTTGACTATAATACCATAATGTCTTCCCTTTCTATTCCTGGTGTTCTAAGTTTGTTGTTCAGTTTCAATGCCGAATGATTGGGTCATAGTGGGAAATAAAAACATATTTGTATAAATGTGCAATTGTGATTGGAAGAGTGTCATTGATGGACATATGGACATAAGTCTTCTTCAGAGAGCTGAGACACTTAGAATTATTTATTTTTTTGCATGCACGATGCAGCGTCCTGATAGTAGCCCTGAGCATGGCAAGAAGACTAACTGGAAGAAGCTGACAGTCTCACTTCTGGTACAAGTGAGGCACTTGACGTGTGTGTGTGTGTGTGTTTAGGTCTCTTTTCCCACCAGTTTCTGGTAGCCTGAGAGAGAACCAGAGAGCTTGCTTCCGCGGTGGCCTCTCCACACTTTATTTATTTATTTATTTATCAGTACTGGGGCTTTGAACTCAGGGACTTCACCTTGAGCTGCTCCACTAGCCTTATTTTTGTGAAGGGTTTTTCAAGATAGGGTCTCGTGAACCATTTGCCTGGGCTGGCTTTGAACTGCAATCCTAGTGATCTTTGCCTCCTGAGTAGCTAGGATTACAGAAGTGAGCCACCGGCACCCAGCTTCTCCACCTTATTAAATACTTTTTTCTGGTGTGTTTATAACCCTTGAACACACCCTCCGAAGCTCCTGGCTGCTGGCTTCACCACTGTATTTCTTTTGAAGTATTTACTCAGAAACCTGTTCAAAGATGATGTTCTGCTTCTTGAACTCATTCTAGAAACAACTTCATCTTACAGTGTGGTATAGGGTCCTTTTTGTTTTTTTTTATTTGGGCAGCATTTTGTGAGTGATGTGAAAAGTGAAGAAATTTTAGAAATGTCTAGCTCTTTATATTGAACACTTCAAAGTTTGGGGCCTGAAGTTAAATTCTCAGATTTGGAATTATTCAAGAAGATCTTATTTTCTTTTTCTGGCTCTATGCCTAGCTTTATCTGAGTTTCTTAGTAACTTTGTCTGTCTGTACTTACCTTATTTTTTTAAAAAGTGAAGAAAATCAAGAGACTGAGAAGACAAGCCACAGACTTGGAGAAAATACTTAGAAAACATATTTCTGATAAAGTACTACATATCCAAAATAATACAAAGAAATCTTAAATGTAACCATAAGCCGGGCTCCAGTGGCTCACTTCTGTAATCCTAGCTTGGGAGGCTGCGATCAAGAGGAGTGCAGTTCCGAGGCCAGCCTCAGCAAATAGTTCTCAATACACCATTCTCCAAAATAACCAGAGCAAAGTGGAATGGAGGTGTGGCTCAAGTGGTAGAGTGGTAGCGTAAGCACAAAGCCCTGAGTTCAAACCCCAGTCCCACAAAAGAAACCCCAACCACCACCAAACAATACAACTCAGTGATAGCATGTTCCTGTCATGCACGAGTAGCTTGGTGTCCCATCCTCAGCACAGAACAAAAAACAAAACAACAACAAATCTGGTGGAATGCTCAAGTGGTAGAGTACCTTCCTTGCAAGCATGGGGCCCTGAGTTTAGTACCTCTCCCCCTACCTCAAAAATAGGAACAAGGGCTGGGAATGTAACTCCATGGAAAGTATATACTTAGCATGAGCTAAGTACTGGATTGAGTCTGCAGCACCAAAAACTCCAACCAAACCAAAACAACCAGCTAAAAAACCCCAACCTAACACAATCTTATAATCCAACCCAGCCGTCATACTTCTTGACATTTACCCATAGGAAGTGTAAACTTAAACTGCACAAACGTCTGTACACAGATTTATTTATTTATTTATTTACTCATTTTGCCATACTGGGGTTTGAATTCAGGGCCTCACACTTGCTAATCAGGCGCTCTACCACTTGAGCCCACTCTACAAATGTGATCCCTTGTTTGTATTGGTTATTTTCAAGATAGGGTCTTGAGAACTATTTGTCCAGACTAGCCTTGACTGTGATCCTCCTGATTTCTGCCTCCCAAGTAGCTAGGATTATAAGCATGAGCCACCAGAGTCCAGCTGTTCACAGATGCTTATAGCAGTTTTATTCATAATTCCAAAAACTTGGAAGCAACAAGATGTCCTATGGTAGCTAAACATCAGGTATCTGATCAAGGAATGAGGTGTGAAGTCATGAGAAGACATGGAGGAGCTTAGTTGCATATTACTGAGTGAAAGAATTGAATCTGAAGAGGCTGCATAATGTATGATGACATTTTGGGAAAGGCAAAAGTGTGGGAGTAAGAATCCGAGGTTGGGGTGGTAAAGGATGAATAGGCAGAGCATAGAGGATTTTTAGGGCAATAAAATTTCATTTTGATAGTGTAATAACAGATATGTGTCATGAATTTGTCAAAACCCATAAAATGCCCAACACCTGGATCTTGGGTGATAGTGATAATGATGTGTTGGTGTAGGTTCTTCAGTTGATAGCGGGGTAGGTTGTATATATGGGAGAGCCTGGTGTATGGGTACATTCTGCTCAGTTTTGCTGTGACCCTAAAACTCCTCTAAAAAATAAAATATTTTTTAACAGGAACGTAGGGAGACTTCTTGCAATATGGCAGACTAAGCTGACTATTCTGACAAAGAAATGTTAGCCAACACAGTTGCATTGTTGTTTTTTATTGTTTTGAAGTGGGTCATTTATGTTTCCCAGACTGTTATTGACTTCCTGGGCTTATGTGATCCTCCAGAGCCAGCCTCCTGAATAACTGGACTAGGTATGTACCATGGTACCTAACTAATCCTTTTAAAATAATGATTAGAAGCCAGGCCTGTTCACCCAGGCCTGTAATCCTAGCACTTGGGAGGCTGAGGCAGGAGGCCCACAAATTGGAAGCCCCATCTCAAAAGAAACAAAAAGATCACAGAAGAAATTAATGGAACAGAGAACAGAAAAACAGTGGAGACAAATCAACAAAACCATAAGTTGGCTGTTTGAGAAGATTAACAGAATGGGCAGACCTTTAACTAGACTGGGGAGTAATAAACAGACTCAAATTATGAAAACTGGGGGAAAGGGGATTATTGGCGACCACTGTGAGCAACTATATGCTATGTATTAAACAACATAGATAAAATGGACACATTCCTACAGATTACTTGCTACCCAGCCAAGTGTTCTTTTCCTCAGTTGTCTGCCTACTAATGAATCTCAACTGAGGCGTCTGAGGATGTTCTAAAGGACCCCTTGTCTTACAGTATAGGGTGCTACCACATGAGCCTTGGACCTGACTGTGGGTTGAAGGACACCTTCCCCTTCCCGCCAGTCCTCTTAAATTTGTTAAGCTATGCTAAAACTTTTTTTTTTTTAAATCATTTTTCTCCAGAGAAATTGGTCATTAACCTGACAGGCTGTAGAAAAGCTATGGACTTGGCCAAACCCAGTGTGGCCTAGAGCTGACAGTCAGCCAAGAAGTGGAAGGGTGTTGGCCCACCCTGCTCATCCCCTGTCAACACATACCACTCTGGGGGCTGTGGTTTTCTGAGTCTCCAGGGGGTGGGGGTAGGGTTTCATTTCTCTGGCTTCTGCCTAAGGCTGTTCCCCTCACTTCACCTAAGGGAAATCTGTCTACATACCTTTGGCACTTGGGTGTGGTGTCGGATGGGAAACAGTAACAGCAATGTCAGTTTCTGGTGCTCAGTTCCCTTAAATATTACCCAATATCAAACTTTTAGTGAGCTGGCCTTTCATTCATCCAGCAAATATTTATCGAGGTTCTGTTATGTGCAAGATGTCACATTAGGGAAAACAGCTACATACAGAAATTTCTTGTAATCATGCAGATTGAGGTCTGATAAGGTTAGGGATAGAAATGAAATACTTTGAAAGGAAAAATAAGTACCATAAACCTATTAATTCTACAGATCACAGCCCAGTAATAGACATGAAATCAATTTAGTGAGTTTGTCACTACTTTTTAAAGTAGCATAAACCCATCAGTGCATTGCATACATTAAGGGCATTTTGTGGGTGTTTTTGGTTTTTTTTCTTCTTTTGTGTTGGGATCAAATCCAGACAATCATGAATACTAGGCAAGCACTCTATCATTGAGCTACATCCCCTACCCTATTTTGTGAAAATGTTGCTTGCTATATTGTTTATATTACAGTTGTGGTGTTACATATATTTTAATGTAGGTTACAGTCAAAAAAAATTGAAAGCAGCCTGGTGTGGTAGATCATGTCTGCAATCTCAGCACTCTGGAGACTGAGGTATGAGGATGTCAAGTTTGAGGCTAGCCTGGGCTACAAAGTGAGATCCTGTCTCCAAAAAAAAAAAAAAAAAAATTAAAAATTGAAAGGGTAGATCACATGTACTTCAGAACAATAGAGAAGCTTGCTGGGGAAGGGAGGAGGAATAGCTAGAATTCTTATAAGTGAATATGGGGTAATGGGAGGGGAAAAAGAACTGGGGCTCTAACTAGCACTACCCGTGAGGGGACCGAACTATCAGTAACAAGGTAGACTCTAGTCACGGTAGGGGTAGGGCAAGAATTTTGTGTGGGGTAGGGGAGTGAATTTGGAGACTTTGATTCTAGCTGTGTTAATAATTAATTGAAGTCCTTTCAGGGATTACTGATAGCTTATCAGCCTTGGTTATGCCTGTGAGGACTTTGACAGCTCCACCTTTAGTCTGACTGCAAACAGGTGAGAATGCCAGGATAGGTCCTGTAGTGGGTGTCTCCTCCTTCCTCCCCTCTCCATTTGCACTTTTGAGGCGTCTCTGACAGATCCTTACTCTCTCAGGCATAGTATTGACACCTGGCCTGGAAAACCACTGGACTGCTTGTTTTAAGAAGAGATTAGCACTCCTTTGGAATAGGTGTTTATGGGCTTGTGTTTGAGTATTTTGTTTTACTTTTTGTTTGGGTGGGTTTCTCATTCTTTTTCCAGTATTTTGAGGACAGGCCTTGTAGGGACTGACCTTTTCTGACAGCCCCAGTCCATTGCACTTGGGATTAGAGGCTAAGTGATGACATAATGTCTGAAAAACAGTGAGTTTAACTAAATAATACACATATAAAGGGTTATTACGAGATGAAGGGGCTCTAGAGAAAATTCTCAAAAGATATTATTACCTCAAAATGACTTGGAAAATAAATGAGAATTCATTATCATGGCTCTCCCCATTACCAGCTGGAACACTAATTACAGGGTGAGGATGCTGGAATTTTAGAAAAACCCAGGGCCCAGCTACTTTCTTCCAGGGTGAGGGGAACAATCTGGCCTGGCTTTGGTGCTCTCCCCTGCACCCCTTATCCCCCTTTCCCCAGCCCTGAATAGCAAACTGCCACTGAGCACGAAGCACCAGGTCTTTCTGCCACCTGCCCCAGAGACCTGCTTTCCTTTCCTCCTTAGCACTGCCTTCATGGGGTTGCTCTCTCAAAGACTCGCATCGAGTATGGTGGTGTCCTCCCTTTCCTGCACAAATTTAGAGACACTTGGTGCCAGCTGGGCACGGGTCATCCGGCTAGGAGAATTCAGTACCATTCTGTTTATATCCCTTCCTCTGGGTCTCCCAGGCGGCAACCGGTTGGGCTATAGAGGAAACAATCCTAAGGTCCCGCAAGATAAGACAATGGGAATTTAATGGGTAGTTTATTTTCTCAAGAAATTTGCATTTCCGAAGCCTGATAACCATCTCAATAGGCCCATCCTACATCGGAAGAGACTCCTAGGACATTCCTTACACAAAAGTTAACTCTTGTCCTGCTTTTGGGTCAAGAGACCAGACTCCTTAGGAGTCCGACTGTTGCGGGGAAGTGGTGCGAAACATAGTTTGAGAAGTGAATTTGATAGTTGGTTGACTTGGAATTTGAACAGGACATTTTGGTTCTTTTGGCTGGTGGAAGTATGCAAAGTACACTACGCTTCAGAATCGAGGAGGGAAGACAGAAGCGTTTTAGATTAATCAGCACACATCTTTCAAGAAAAGACATTCGTCCTCCAGTAGCGTGGGGTTGGAGACCACGGTGTGAAAGCTTCCCACGGAGGCGGGGAGAAGGTATAATGGGAGGTTTCTAGACGAAGGAGGGGCCTGTATGGGCTTTGGTGAGTCCGCGGTGGAATTCGAGGGAAGGCAGGATAAAGACGAGCAAGGTAGGCTCGGAGCCTGGGATGCAAGGTGCCGGAGGGCGCGACCTGCCTGGGTCTCTGGAGGCCGCTCTCGGGTCACCCCACGTGGCAGGCCTGGGGGAGGCTGGCGGGGCGGGGCGGGGCGGGGCCGGCCGGCGGAGGCTGGCCCTACCGCTGACGCGCGGAGTATATAGCCGGGCATGCGCGCGCGGCGGGGGCCGGACGCAGGGAGGGGGGCGCGTGGCTGTCCTCGCGCACGCACCGATTGAACTGCTTGACCGCCGCCGGCCGCCCCGGGGCCTGGCGGGTGACGCTGCGCGGGCCCGGCTGCCGGACTGCAGGTGAGGGCGGACAGCAGGCGCGCAGGATGGGCACTGGAGCGCAGCGGCGACGCGCCTTGGGGTTGTGGGCGCCGGGTGGGGGTGGGGGTGCTGGCGCGCGGAGGTCCCAGAGCCGCTCCGGGGACTGCGCACGCCGGTCCGGCTGGGTGCGGGCCGCACCTGGCCGCGGAGCCACGGTGTCGAAGGGAAGGAGGTCAGAACGCTGTCCCTTCGACTGGAGGACGCGGGATGTGTGAGCCAGAAAAGGGCGCCTGGGACGTCAACTGCTGCGCAGAAAAGCTGAGATAGGCTTCCTGGAACCCGGGGACACCGAGCGCAGAAAAAGCAGAGTGGATGGGCACGTTTGATGCGCTGACCTAGGGGCGGCTCCGAGGAGACTCCAGTGTCTGGACTTTGCTTTCTGGGAATTGTGTATCCTCACCCTCTCCGCCAGATTAACCTCCCAGCTGAAGATCGATGCCCCGAGTCTTCCGGCTGAGCGGGAGAGGGACTTGGAGACCCGCAAGGGAGAAGCTGAACTCCCACCTGGCTGACCGCGAGGATGGCTCTTGGGCTATTTTTGGTCCGAACTGACCAAGTTAGGTGGTCTGGTTCAGGCTGCCCCCTCTTGGCGTTTTAGGGCGATGGGACAAAATAGCTATTCGAGCAATTTCATCGTGTGATCCCATCAAGCATGGAAAATAGCCTGCCCTCTGGGTTGTGGGTTCAGTTTTAAGGATATAGTGTCTGCCTGGGTCTAGGTCTGTTTGGAGACTGGCCTCTCCAGATAGTTACGTGGCCTGGGTGTCCGTGCTAGAGAACTCTGAGTATAATTTATTGAGGGGTTGAGTGCTCTTCTGTGACCTAAATGGAAGGGTGGGGGCAGGAGCAGCTTTGACAGGACCTTTCCTTGTGGAGCAACCTGGATTTGGATTTGTGGTTTTAGGCCTCTCTTTCCACGTAGCCCCCAGCCATTGGGATAGGCCCATGCCTGCTAAGGGTGGTGATGCTAGTGGGTGATGGGGACTGACCTGGCAGTGGCCACCCTGGCTTCTGTTCAGGCTCTGCTCCTAACTTGCTCTGCGACCTCCAGAGGACTCGGGCCAGTACTAAGGTCAGACTGAATGGCTTATCCACAGTATGTATAATTGTGTAACCCTTTCCTCCTAAAACATAGGCCCTAAAGACCGAGGAACTTGCCTCCTTGATGAACCAAAGGAAGGAGTATCCTGAATCCAAATCATAGCTTTCAGCAGCTGGGATTCCAAGCCACACATTCCCTTTCCCATTGGTGACTCAGGTGAGTTTTTCCTCAGTTGGGCGGTAGTCAGGACAAGGACTTGTAGTCCTCTTCCTAGAACTGCTTTGCAGGTGTGACTAGGGGCACTGAACTTGGGAGAGGCAAGACCCTGGGTATTGTCTCTTCCTCTGGCTGTAATGCTTCTTCTTGCTTAATCTGGCTTTTGTTACTCGGCCTTGGAGAGGGCAAGCCAAAGGGGAGAGAAGAGCCCACCATTGGCAGAAAAACTGTTCGACCTGAGGGTTGGAGGAGGTCATGATATTGGCCTTATCATTTAGGCAAGAAGAGGAGTAATAATTGTGGGCTCCTTGAGGCACAGAGCTCTGTGATTCTCAGAGCACAAATCCAAACCCAGCCCTGCTGCAGAAGGGCCAGGTCCGATGTGCATGGGTCGTCTGTGTCCTGAGATGGTTACTGTGGTGGGCCTGGCTCTCCTACCCTTTGGGTGCAGACTGTCTCTGGAGAGAGAGAACACTCTAAATAAAGTGAGGTAGCAGCACAAGAGAAGTCTCGAGGCTGGGTACAGTGAAGTTCAAAGAGAGCCATCTGCTAGAGACAGTGTGCCGTGATGGAGCTCAGGGCTTTTGAGCCAGGTGACTCTGTATCCCAATCCTGGATCCATCATTTTCCAGCAGTGAAAAATGTCTTAATCTCTGAGTGTTCTCACTGCCTTATGTGATGCTATGATCGTGTTTAGAACATTGTAGAGGCCTTTCTGCCATTGTCTTTGTGGGATGAAGTGGGTGGTTTAGGGATCCCAGAGCAGATAGGTTGTGTGGTAGGAATGATACAAGCCCAGATGTAAGGTGGATTCATAATGCACTGGGCAATCTTAGGGAAAAGAGGTGATTTTCCATCTTTAGATCTCTGATTTGTTCAGAGAAGAAATACTTCTCTGGACTGATGATAACCAGGAAGGACACTGTGTGTGTGTGTGTGTGTGTGTGTGTGTGTGTGTGTGTGTCCATGGCATACATACCAGTTACAGGACAAGTCCTGTTTTCAAATGTTTCCATCTTTTTCCTCTTTCCTTACCTGCTCACACCCCACACCCGTCCAAAAGAACCTCAGTCCATCTCCAATATTGACAGAGGCATAGGATCTCTATAGGGGTCTGGGAGTCTGGAACCCCTTCTCATTCTGCCAAAGTAATTCTGCCTACTCCCATTCACATGTGATGCCTGAAGAAAGGAACACCTAGCCATTTTTCAGAACCACAGACTGGTATGAAAGATACCAGGTCCAGAGAGATTAATTGGTGTTCGTGAATTACATTGCTTGTTAGTGGTGAGAGACTTGATGGGGAAATACCAAAGAAGTGTGCTATTTTTATTCCTAAATGTGCTAAAATTGCTGATAGTTCTTGTCTTTTCCTTGAAACATTGAAGGGGGGTTTGTGGTTCAGTGGCAGGTGGTCTTTCCTTCTGCATGGGAGTTTCTTCTAGGGGAGTCTCCTACTTCTTTCTCTTTGTAGGCTCTCTGGAGTTATGACAGTATAAAGTGAGCAGGGAAGGGTCATGTTGTCTTGTCTGTCAGTCCAACCCCCCCCCCCCACCCCCCGACCAGCAATACGCAAACTAGATTCTACAGTGGGCCCTCTCAGACCTCCAGGCTGGCAGCTGTCAGAATGCCAGGAGATAAGGAGTCCAGAGTCTGCTAACTTGAGACCGCTGGCAGTCAGGGCCACATGCCTGCCCAGGGGGCCACTGGGCAGCCCCAACTGCCATCCAGCCTCCTACAGGGGCCCCTGATTGGGCCCAGCTGAAGATGGAGATGCAGAGCCCCTTGCTGGGCCGTTCAACCTATGCTAGGCCAGCCAGGAGCCTGCCACAAGACTGAGCAGCTACAAAATCCACATGCCACAGGAGCCATAGGAACTGAATTCCCTGTCTTGGCAACCTGAGATCCGACTGTTCTCCACCTGCCTAACCAGGCCCCAGAGAGTCCTGGGGTTATGCGGAATAAGAAGGAGATGGTCCTAAATTTATTCCTGTGAGTCCTTAGAGGTTCTCTGGAGCACTCGGTATTAGTTAATAAAAAAAATACGTGTATCAGTTAAAATTTAGGGGTTGGTGATGTGGTTCAGTGGTAGAGCTCTAGCATGCACTAGGCTTTGGGTTTCATCTGCAGCATCACAAAAAACCAAGAAACAAGAAAGTAGTTTATTTTCTCTTGAAAAATGTGTATTTTTAGTCACCAAGATTTTTGTTTGTTTGTTTGTTTGTATTTTAAAGTGGCATGGGGAATCAGACCCAGGAACTGGAGCATGCTAGGCACGACGTCTGCCAGTGAGCTACATCCCCACCCCTTCACCAAGACTTAGTTTAGGGCCGGCCTTTTCTTTTAGTCTCCAGGTCCTCTAATTAGGCTTGCAAATTGCATTTAAAAAAATCACACCTATAAATATTACCTGTGATTCTCAGTTTCTTCCTTCCCTCCTTTTTTTCCTTCCCTCCCTTCTTTTTTTAAGACTGAGTCTTAATGTGTAGCCCTGGCTTCCTGAGAACTCTTATCTTCCTGCATTTGCTTCTCTAGTGCTAGGATTACAGGTGTTCACTCCCTGTTTTCTTCATTAAATACTTTTCACTAGGCTCTAAAGTCATATAGCTCAAAATTCAAAACAATGAAAAACAACCAAGGTAGCACTTTTCACTAGGCTCTAAAGTCATATAGCTCAAAATTCAAAACAATGAAAAACAACCAAGGTAGCATTTTAGACATTGTTTAACACCATGCCTTTTGCACCTAGCAGCTGTATTAGACCTTCCCATATGTACACACAAATGCTTTTAGTGTTTTCTGTTACTGCTACTTAGTATTCATACTTTGGAAGTACTCTTTTTTGTTTTATTTGTGGAACTGGGAATTGAACCCAGGGCCTTGTGCGTGCTAGGTAAACACCACTGAGCTACATTCCCAGCCCTGTCATTTTCTTTTTTTTTTTTTTTTAATTTTTTATTTTTATGGTGGTACTGGGGTCTGAACTCAGGGCCTCAGGCTTGTTAGGCAGGCACTGTACGAGCCACTCTGCCAGCCCTTTTGTATGGCGTGTTTTTTCAGGATAGGGTCTCTCGAGCTGTTTGCCCAGGCTGACTTTCTCCTGATTCTCCTGATCTCTGCCTCCTCAGTAGCTAGGATTACAGGCTTAAGCCACGGGCACTGGGCTCTTTTTTTTTTTTTTTAATTAGTTTGTTACCCCTCACGTTGGGTTGTTTTCATTATTTTTCCGTTATATACAGTGCTGCAATGAATTACATCTGTTTAATTAGCTTTCATTTTTAAAAAAGCGAGAACCTTTGCAAGCCCAAAGCCCAGAGTTCAGACCCCAGTCCCAACAAATAGAAAGATAGATAGATGAATAAAAAAGTGAGAACTTATAACATCAGAGACTTTAACTTCAGGGACCTCAGGTATAATTTTAGAATTGTTAGACCACTTACCTTTTTTTTTTTTTTTTTTTGGCTGTACTGGGGTTTGCACTCAGGGCCTACACCTTGAGCCACTCCACCAGTTTTCTGATGGGTCTTTTTGAGATAGGGTCTCGACCTATTTATCTGGGCTGGCTTTGAACCTTGATCCTGACCTCTGCCTCCTGAGTAGCTAGGATTACAGGTGTGAGGCACTGGCACCCAGCCTAGAAATGAGAACTTTTCTGTCTTCATATTTCAGTTCCTGTTTAAATAAATAGTAATCATAAAAACAAGCAGAAGCAGTGGTTAGGTTTGGTGACATATGTCTATAATCCTAGCACTCTGTGAGATTGAGGCAGGAGGACTGTGAGTTTGAGGACAGCCCGAGCTATATAGCCATATAGCCAAATTCTCTCCACCCCCCACCAAAAAAACAAAAAAACAGTAGAGCTAGGTTTATGAATAGGCACAGCTGGTTCCTATTCATAAATAGGCCTGGCAAGTGGCCTCTCAGTGTTGACAGCTGGGGAGGTCTGCTTGCTTCCTGGAGGGTCTTGGCCAACCCAGTGGATTGGGGCTACGAGTGTCTCCTCCATCCTGAAGAAAGTTGGAAAATGCATGTGGAGAAGAGCTGAGACTCCCAGGTGGCATTGGTGAAGCTCCAGTGAGTGGAGAAGGCCTGTGACTGGGCCAGGACTGGTCAGGAAAGCTTCCTGCAGATGGAATTGGGCCATCTTTTGCAAGCTAGAAGGAGCCGGATCCTGGAAAGGAGAATTGTGTGTATAACACAGAGGTGGTCCTCCTCAGCCAAGTGGGCTACAGGGAAGAGAGGAGTCTGGAGTCAGGTTTGAAAGTTCTCTGAGAATCTGAGCTGCTTCCACATCACAGATTTACTGCTTTGCCAGCAGCCCTCTTGTCTGGCCGTCCAATGCCTATTCATAACAACTCCGTGGTCCCAAGTCCATATCCCCTGTGTCAGTCCAACCTCCTGTCTCCTCCCTGAGGGATGCCCTCCTTTCCAGCCTAACTTACCACAGCCCTTAAAAGTTTTCCAGAAGCTCTACTCCAGAGGCTGAGGCAAAAGGATTGAGAATCCGAGGCAGGCCTGGACTACACAGTGAGACCCTGTGGGGTGGGGGGAAGTAATGCATGCTTAATGTAAAGAAAGATAAAGAAGGGTATGGGAGTGGGAGGGGGTCTGTAAGCCTGATGCTTTGGGGCAATCTGGGTTAACACTGGCATCTTTTTTTCATGATGCTCATAGGTGTCTATCCCCCTTTTACCTTGGCATCAAAATTGCTTCCTAAAAGTTGGGTGCTGGTGGCTCACTCCTGTTATTCTAGTTTCTTGGGAGGCAATTTTAAGGAGGATTGTGGTTTGAGGCCAACCCAGGCAAAAAGTTTGCTAGACTCCATCTCACCCAATGTGTCTGTCTCCCCAAACTATATGGATGGCTGAGATCATGAGGATTATGGTTTCAAGCCAGCCCAAGTCAAAAAAAATCTGTAAGACCCCATCTCAATGGAAAAAGCTAGCTGGTCACGGTGGCACACACCTGTCATCCCAACAATGATGATGGGAAGCTTAAAA